GGCTTGCAGAAGAGAGGCGTGGTTTCTAAGGCCGTGTCCTGTGGTCCTGTGAAGTATGACGATGAGCGGCCCCTGGGAAGCAGCTTGCAGAAGACAAGCGTGGTTTCCAGGGCTGTGTCTCCTGGTCCTGTGCAGCTCTTGAACAGCAGCAGCTTGCAGAAGATAGGCGTGGTTTCCAAGGGTATGTCCTGCGATTCCATGCAGCATGAGGATGAACAGCTCCTAAGCAGCTCCATGCAGAAGAGAAACACAGTGGCTTCCAGGAGTGTGTCCTCAGGCACAGAATCCTCCATGGGTATTTTTTCTGAGTACCACATCTCCCAGGTGGATCCCCAGGGTGAGTCCCTGACTAAGTGCAGCTCGTACCTCCACAATATAGAATCTGTATGGAGCTCTGAGGAGCCACAGGATATGACCACCACAGACAGTCATCACAACGACAGAAGCTTTTCCGTGCAGGAGACATCTGAACCAAGCTTTGCCAGTGCCCAGTCCCAGTGTGCAACCACAGCCTCTCCTCGGAACCTGTCGGGTGGATGGAAGCGGGCGAAGAGAAGGACAGTGAAGTGTTTAAGGAGATTGTGCTGCTGTCTGCCAGCCCAAAGGAGAAGCTGCACTTCCCGGAGGAGAGTGCTTCCGCAGGAAGCAGGAGAAAGCAGAGTCACACAAAGCCAGGTGTTGGGGGACAGTGGAGTCACACAAAACCAGGTGAGGGGGGACAGTGGAGTCATACAAAACCAGGTGAGGGGGGATAGTGGAGTCGTACAAAGCCAAATGTGGGGGCTAGAGTAGAGTCACACAAAACCAGGTAGCGAACATCAAGATGCCCTTCTGCAGTTTACTTAATGTATGTATTTTCTGACATCCTTGGCAGCTGACACATGGTAATTGTACCTGCTTCTTGGGTATGCACCTTAACATATGTACCACATCCCATGCTGCCAGCAAATGAGGAGCCACTCTCTCAGCCTCACAGCATCCTCCTTATGCGGAACATGAGAAACTTGAGTCGAGGTAGACGGAGGGTGGTGACCACAAATTGGGGGAAGGGGCAGCTGGGGTGGGGTGTTGACCATAGGAAACAGCGATGTGGAAGAGAGAAGTTAGGTGGGGGCTCTGCACAGCAGGGCCCACACAGTCAACACAGTGCACAACACAGTCAGCTATAGCACAGTATATCCTGTAGGTTTCAACCACAAGACAGTCCTTTTCAATGTGTCTTTCTGCTTTTAAGTGATGAGCCTCTGTGGTTGCTGAACCACAGGGTGGGGAATCTGCCTGGGCTGGACTGAGACAGTGACAATGGGTGACAGGCAAGACATCTAGGTAGCAGTGTGTCTACAAGTTTTGCATAGAAGGCTTTGTCCTGTACAGGAGAGTTAAGTGAATTATCATAGACTGCTCCCCAGGAAATCCCAGCCAGGAGGGAATCTGGCTCAGTGATGGCATTCCACAGCATCCTGCTTGGAGCAGAGATTGAGCTGGAAGCGTGCCTGAAGCTACCTGGAACAAGAAGCCCCTGTGGCCCTCACTTGGGGCAATCATTGATGAGACACATGCCCCTCCCCTGCTCACCTGTCTTTCTCTCATGTTTCTGTGTGAGAAGATGACTTAGCACATTGGAGGAACAGTTTTCTCACCCAAGAGATACTAGATAGCCTACCCCAACTCTCCCAAGGTAGGTTAGCTTGATTGAGTCCACACCCCAAGCAGTCTGTTGGGATAAGCTAATGACATATATTAGAGAGTCCAGCTCTACAAGGACAGTCTCAGAGGCCTCTTGATATAGGTCGTGAGATCTTTATACAGACTTTGGCAAATCCCTTGATCTTTCAGGGCCTTGGTTCCTCCCTATAAATTGGCCTGGCAGTTATGCTGGCATAGAGTCACCTTGGTGGGGTGCTGCTCTCACACTGTCACACAATAGAAGATGCAACATCTGTTAGTGCTGTGGCACTGGGAATTCCAGTGTGACCAGGTTGGTGGACAGCCTTGATGGGGTAAGCATAGAGAGATAGGATGTGTAGTTAGGAGGCAGTGGGGTGCCTGTGTCTGGAAGTCTCTTCACATTGTTTTCAGGATGCCTGAATCCTGGGACCAGTGCAGAGCACAGCTTGGGAAACCTGAGCTGGATAGTGTCCCCAAAGAGCGCTGCATGTCCTTACTTCCTCAGTCTCCCCTGTAGGTGTTTGTTTTTCTACTTGCCCCATGGCCAGAGGACCCAGTCTTTCAGCATTCTGGGGCAGTGGGTCAGAATGGGGAAGGAGATCTTTTGTTCTTCTGTCTGACAAGATAGTGCCAGCAGGCTGGAGTACATGCGTCACTTTGACTGCACAGCTGAGGCGCTGTTCTACTTTGGAGAGCTGAGTGGGCCTTGCCAGACCTAGGACATAGCAGCCTCAGATGCCTTTGCTACTAACTGTGGAACTGATTTGAATCCAGCATCCACCTTTAGGACCAGGCCTAGGTGGAAACATTAGTTATCATCGGACTGTGGCTTTTAGCTACCGGTGTCAGCTTCTGTGTTTTGCTCTACAAGTTGTCCTCAAGTGTGATGAGGACTATACTACTAAGTGACGAAGCCTCTCTCTTCAGCTCTCATGTGCTTTTACAAACACTCAACACAACCAGGAGTCTGACTATTGGAGTGAATTAAGGCAGAGGACAAGGCAGGAATAGACTATGGCAAGTGAAGTGGAATTCGTCCTTCAGAGAGGATTGGTATGAGGATCAGAAATGACCACCGCTGACCTCTGTCTTAACCAAACGACACAGGTTTGCACGAAAGGCATCTGCAGTGATGTGTAGGCTGAGGATTCGGGAAGTGGCTCAGAGTCTCAGTATAGACCCGATACAGCCTGAGGGGGCTTAAGAAATTGATAGCCAGTCCTCATTGAAGTTATCCTCCCATGAGACCCACATCTAAAAATGGCTGTTGCTTAATTGATGAGCAGGCTCAGCCAGGCCAGCTGGTGTCTTAGCTGTTTGCTCATGAGGGAGCAGCCTGGTCAAGGCCCCCCCATACAAGGACCTCCCTCCAACCCTTCAGGTGCATATGAGACCTGAAAAACTCCCTTCAACTGTAGATTATAATAAATGTGTAATTTTACAAGTTAGGCTTGGTAGTATAGGTATTGTACTACCTGTGAGGATCCTGTGGGGTTCAGGGCTGAAGTAAGAGGATTGCCAGTTAAACCCCACTTAGGCCACAGGGCATTCAGGGTCAGTCTACTCAACATAGCACATCCCTGCCTAAAATAACATGTATCAAGAGGACCATGGGTGCAGCTCAGTGGTAGAATGCCTTTCCTAGCTTGGAGAGGCCATAGTTTCAATCCAGCGAAGGAAGTCAAAGACTGCAACAGGGCTTACATGGGAGCAAGGCCCTCCTGTCACTACCAGAGGGCATGGTGTTTGCATGATTGAAAGCTAGGGTCTGGTTGATGATGTCAGCTGAACATTTCCTAGCTGGCTGTGGATCTTGGCCTCAAACCATACTCAAAACAGCCCCAGTCAGCTGTGGGCTGGTCCAGCTTTGTCACCTGTGTCATTGAGGAAGCAGGAAGTTTCCCTTAAGAAAAGGCAATCTGCAAGCTAACTCTAGTGACTGGGTAAATAGTTCAGAGAGCTCAAGGCTGGAAAACAGCTCTCTGCTAGAGGTCTGTAGGGGCAGACAATGATTACAGGCTCTAGGAAAGCCCGCTAATCCAGAGAAGCTATGAAGGAGTGATGGCAGAGATTCCTGAAGCCTCTGGTCTGCATTGTCCCCAAGAACAGTGGGTGAACCTAGGGAAGGCCTGGATTTGGCATCCTAGAGTCTGGAGTCTCTGGGTCCATCCCTCGAACCCTCCTTGCTATATGGAACAGTGCAGATGTCAAACTAAAAGCAGCAGCCCTAAGATTATTTTCAACAAAACTACCTTTGTTCACTGTAACTCACCAACTGCTAAAGTGGCTCACTAGCCCTGATCCCCATTTCTCCTAACACTCTATCCTTTCCTCTTCTCCCCAATGCCCTTTCCTTCCAGCTCTAACCTAAGACCAGTTGGTAAGCAGGGAGGAGGCATCTTGGTTCTTAGGGTGTAGGATAGAAGCACAGTCAAATCTCTGTTAGGCCCACCTTGAGGAGACATCACACAGGTGGCTCAGTGTTTCTTCCTTTTCCTCTTATGGGTTCCTAATGATTTACATCTCCTCTGCTGAGACTGTGAGAGACAAGCACTTCCGGAGCTGAGACAAGCCCTTCAGGCTCAGGCCCTGAGCTAGGTTTCTTAGCCATAGGAACTGAGCCTCCGATGAAAGCTCAAGTCTTAGGCTTGGAAGCTAGAGGATGATCAGGGCTGAGGTCCATTCTCTGGGGATATGAAGACTGGGAAGCATCTCCAGGATCAGGGAGATCTGTGTGGGGACCCAAGTGGCTGGACAGTCTCCAGGGCACCAGCTGGTACTAGGGGGACAGGAGGAAGGTTGGGCTTTAGAGCTCCTCCTTGTTCTCCTTGATTCTGCTCAGTGGCTCACAGGAATCCTTGGTAGCGGTGGGTCCTCTGAGTCTCCCTAAACATGTAGACCCTGGGATTTGGGAATGGGTTTCATGGCCATGGGCAGAAGCAGCGAATGGGGTGGCTTCCAGTGAGGGTGGCTCTTGATTCTTCTGCAAGACAGCAACAGGCTTAGGCTCAAGCATCTAGACCTCATACATCAGTGGTCCTATGCCACTAGTAACCTCAGAAAGCCATCTGCATCTGCACACTGACCCCTCTTTGAGGATCATGGTCATCTTTCTCTACTTTTGAAGATGGCCAACACAGAAGCATTGGAGGCTGCTTGAGAAGAACCAGGCTTGGGAAGTGCTGTCATGCTCTGCTCTTTTCCTAAGCCAGGTGACACTTCCAGCAGCTGCAGGAAGAAATGGGCGAGAGTCACTCAGCTCCATGCAGGGAGGGCCAGAGCATTTGGGTGGAGGTTGGAAAGGGGAGAGACAACTATCTAGGTTGGAGAGACTGAGTCTGAGGCTGTGCTGCCTTACTGGGATCCTTCCAGCTCTACATAGACTCTTGTCTTCTCCACACCTGTACCCCCCACCCCCAATCTGGGACAGCCTCAGCCTTAACAGCGGGGTCTCTTCCCTCTTCTGTCCCGTAGTCTACTTGGACCTTCCCGACCCTGTTCTGTCTTCCTAGTGTTTCTCGCCCTGGCTGCCTGGTGTCTTGCTGTCTCCTGCCTGTCCCCTGCCCTGGTATGTAGTTGTCTCTTGTTTACTCATTGCCTACCAGGTTCTACCTGGTGTCCCAGTGGCTCTTGCTTATCTGCTGCCACTTTCCCTGTCATACCCATGTCTGCCCTTCCCTGACTGCCTGATCAATGCTGACTTCTTCCTTATTATCCAGATCTTCTGTTAGAGCCATGTCTATCACTGGTCTAGGGGAGAGGATTTCAGCCACAAAGCGGGGTTTTGTAATGGCCTCTACCTGTAAACAGAAAGACATGAATGCTGAGGGCAGGAAGCCAGTCTAGGAGACCTCCAGGGGAATTAACAAGCAAAGCCTGGCACTTCCTGGTCTATGTGACATGGCTGACAAGTCATGATGACAGCCATCATGCACATGCATGTGGTCATGTGTGCACATAGATGCACTCACAGATGTGCTTGTGCACACACACATGCAAGCCTAAGTGCGTGCCTGCACACACACAATTAAGCAGTAAAGCAACAGGCTTAATTCCAAAGACCTAGTATACCATACCCAGAACCTGGCTAACACCAGGGATCCAGTGGCAGCTCACTTGTTCAACAAAGTTTTTTTTGTGACCACAGATCATCTGTGTAGCCTGGATCAGGGTATGATTCATTCTCTTCTTGCTCTGGCCTAGTGTTTTCATTTCTCTTTCTTCAGGCTCTTCTGGAGTAGATTCTGGGAGCCCCTCCAGCCAGTGCATGATGTCCATGTACTTCTGACCAGCTTCAGGCAGGATCTCTGTGAGTGCTTTAGTCTCTGGTGACTGCAGGTATCTGGAGGCCAGCAGGTAGGTTACCAGGGTAACCCTCATGGTACGTTTTTATAGAGGTGCATGCTGGGAGATAAGAGAGCATGATAGAGTAGGAATTTGGTTCAGCTTCACCCCAGCCATGTCAGGGAGCGAAGGGTTCAGGGAGCTGCACTGGCCTAAGATAAACCAGGACAACTTGTCCTGAAGACCTATGAGAAGGAACTTTGCAAGAGGAACATCTTGGGGAGCCATGTGGGAGAACGTTTGGAATTGTCAATATTCCAATTACTTTGCAAGCCTAGTGCCTAGTTTCCAAGTGTATGGTGTTTAGGGCCTTTGCAGAGGTGACAGGAAAGAGGAGTAATGTTCTTAGCCAGATCATCTAAGACTAAGGGGAGCAGAGACCCTAGGCTGTACAGAGCTAGTTAGCTTGCATAGCAAATGCCCCATCCTGAAGGAAGAGGCCTGTATATGGGACAACAGAAAGTTGTGACTGATTTGGCCTCTGCATGGACACCTATAGGTATATGGAAAGCCCTACCTGGCTCTTCAACAACATCTTCAACAACAGGACATTGGAGATTCCTGTCTCAGTGGGGTACAGGAGCAGGCACTGGAAGGCTCTTATCATCCTCAACCTTGGATTCTCCCCATCCCCTTTGTGCTCTCAAACTCTGTGAAGCCTAGCTATGAAAGCTAGCTGAGGTGAGATGGAGGCCATGACCAGCTTCCAGCTCTGGAGAACTGCTAATGGCAGGCATGTGAAGCACGGTGCTGGGTTGGGCTGGTTCAGTTCCAAAGCAGTTGCTGATCTCAAGACAGAATCACAGTTCTGAGGACATCTGAAATCCCTTGGGATCTTCTGGAATCCAGTTCAGTTGAGGTCCCAGAAAGAGTCTTCAAGTAATCTCTCCTTCAGGCCCATCCTGACGCTGCCCAGGACTCCATAGGAGATCTGCCTGACAAGCTGGTCAGGGATATGACTGGTGGAGTACATCAGAGATCTTGGACCAGATCTAAAGATGCTGAAGCTGAAACTGGGAGAGCTGGGATGACCTGGAAGACGAGGGCCCAGGAGATGTCAGGAGAGAGCAGACGGGAAGCTGAGTGGTGTGGTTGCTTCCCTCTGAGAGCTGTTCACTGGCTTGTGTGCATGAGGGCATCACATGGTGCACAGGCAGAAAGAGCAGAGACATGTCCTCAGAGCATCTAAGAGACATCCTTCCTCTCCGCATGATCTTTCCATTTTCATCAACACTACGAATACCATCAAGTGGGGTTTGTGGAACAGCCATGCTTTACTTTCAAGACACCAACTCCCAGTCAGAGGCTTGGCACAAGGCTGGCAGGTGGCAGGCTGTTCCGTTGCACGACTCCCAGCGCTGGAGGAGGCAGCATGGTGTTGAGGGTCACTTCTCCCACTGTCACCAGGAACATGAATGCAGAGGTGGACTCATGGCTAGTGAGACCTGAGACCAGAGCTTCTGGGACCATAGGGCAGAGGACTCCCAGCATTCTAGGCGATGAGAACAACCTCCTGGGCAGCAAGGTTCTCTCCAGGAGGGGGACCTTAGCTATTGGAGCTCCCT